ATTAGGGTTCGGAACCGTGACCCATACCGGGCTTGGGGCTTAGGAACTGTGACTCGCGCAATCCACTGAGAGAGCTTCAGACCAAATTCAGCACCCGCAATCAGAAGCTCAAAGGTACTTTCTGCAAGTCTCCACGCCCACACAAAGCCCTGCCAACATAAAGATTTTGAAGCTGAGCTTCGCAAAAAACAGTAGCTGTAATACTAATAGCAATGTTCATATACATACTGCTGACGTAATAGGAATACTTCCTGAAAGCAGCGAGGCCATGCCAGACAGGTTTAGGGTTTAGGCTACTTAACGACTTACCAATGAAGGAGAACCACGTGGATGAGACATGAATGGAAACTGGGTGTATCAAGGGATGATAGCGATTATGTAGTGTATGGGCCTCAATAACTACCTATATCATTTTGAGTTCTGTTGCTCTACACCGTAAGTGAACAAAGAATCTAGAACCATAACATTGGTAATGATTAAGTCCCCTACAGTAGACATTGGAATGTCCAGGAGGGTGATTTTAAAAGTGATCCTGGCACAAGTTCAACATGCTTTGCAGCCTGCAACCCTAAACCCTCAACCCCTAACCCTAAACCCTTAAAAGAGTGAACCCTTTAGCCTCATGTCTGGCTATGCCTGCGGGCTCCTCGAAGCGAGGAGATCTCCATTCCAAAATGGGAGTTTCCGAAAACAAAGATTCCCGATTCCCAATTGGGAGTTCTAAGAATAATGAATAAGGACTGTACAAGTAGCAGTAGCACTTGGACTTATACAGGGGACCCGCGTTTTCAGAAATTCCCACATGACTGCTGACTCTCAGGGAAGGGGGTTTGGGCTCAGATTTAGACCTTTGTGGGTGATGGCTTGCCGGCTATGTGGCCGGATTCAGACAAAACGTGCGTACCAGAGGGTTTGGCATTGAGGCAAGAATGTCCAACTAGAGAAGGTGTGAGAAGGCTGATCGTTCGTTTTCGCGGGTTTGGGTAACAGTGATCCACTGCTCTGCTATCCCTGAGATCCGTAGCGCTGCCAAGCTAGCAATTTCTGGTGGCCCGGGTTTTCCGGCCCGGGCCAGTTTTCGCGGTAGCCGGTGGCCTGCCTCCATAGCTGTCAAGGGGCTCTACTTGGGACACGCTTTGCGCATCAGGCCTTTAAGGGAAGGAAGTAGGGATAGATGTAGACGTGTGATGACTTGTAGCCACATGAAAGCACTCGGGTTTGTTCAGAAGGAGACTTTCATCTAGAGGTCCCAACATGCTGCTCCCTTGAACAGGACAGGAGGCACGATGGTACCAAGTCAGGGTGCAGGAGTGGGTACTCCAGGGTGCTGCTGCTAGGGCGGCCCGCTGCTTGACGTTCTCCCTTTCCAGTCCCTTCAGAACCCGCAAAGATCAAAACTAGAAGCTTTGGCAATCAAGCAAGCCGGCCCTAAGACCCTTGACCCTAAACCCTAAAAACCCTAAACCGTAAACCCTAAGACCCTTGAGACCATGCCTTTGCTGCGGGGAGTACCAAAATCGCTGCAGCTTCTGGAACTTCTGAGTTGATGTCGCGCGAGGAGGATAGGAAGTCGTTGACGAATGGTGACAATGAAGAGGAGGTGGTTGCGACCAAAATGTTAAATGGCAATGGTAGTGGGGCAAGAGAAGGAAGAAGGAGAAGAACTCCAGGCAAGAGTAGAACATACATAAGATGGAGACACTAGCTGTAGGAAGAGCAGCTGCAGAAGCCGCAGCGGAGAACTACAAAAGGGGGACAAGTAGCACTGCGGCAAGAGCGAAGGGGAGAATGGTCATGCAGTTATAGAGTACACAAGAAGTGCAACCGTGACAATAATATTCTGGTTGACTCCGCAGGGAAACGAATATTGTATGTGGCGTGAACCTGGTGATGACCGTGGCTTCTCTTGAGCCTGTATAGCAACAGCAACAACATTAGTAATAGCTTCAGCACCGCTACCAGGAATAGTAGGAAGTGTGTGATGTACCTTACACCTATGGGTTTCCGAGGTAGACTCGGACCCTCCAGCATAAGGTCATAAGGGATTGTGGTATAATGGGGGCCTCAAAAAGGTCAATCACTTTTGATAGCCTATCATGTGCTTTCTCTATGTTTTGAGCTGTTTGTGGCATGTTTGTTGGCCGCATTCAGTTCTTTTTCGCCATTATCTAGCTGATATAGAGAGTACAGAGGACTCTGTTGAGAGCCGCAAAACAAGAACTTGCTTGAGGGTTACAACTGGATGATTCAGATGGACCGCCTAACTTGCACAGGTCGATTAGAGGACCCCAGTAGAAGCGCCATTGTCCCTTACAGTCCGCATTAAGGGGTGTGGATCCGCTTAACGGATAACCTGTTGATCCTTTTGGTTTCTACCATGTTGGCTGCAGATTGTTGTAAGTTGTAAGTACAGTGTGCGAATTGCAAATGTTCCTAACCTCCTATGCCGCCGGAAGACTTCCGCCACCATAGACAGCTGCTTGTGTTGAAAAAGATGGTGTGTTAGGGTTCAGGGTTCCCCGCTGGCTGCACATTGGACTTGACTTGAAAGCACACTTTCGCCGGGACAAGTTACGTGGAGCGCAATGGCAGCGTACAACGGGTCCACAACACTCGGGATACAGTATGTTGATGGTTGAACGTCCTGACAGATCTTCCATGCGTGGGTCAGGACTCTTTGTCCCTTTGCCGGGCTGGTTTCTCCCGACTGTTCCGTACTTGTATGCAAGCATGTTCAAATTATAATTGTTAACCTGGTGCAATATAATGTGGGCTCCCAAAAAACAAGAAAAGGGAACATGGTATGCAACCATTCTCTTGAGTTACCCAATGTTTCCGACCTTGGGAGTTGGTCTTGAGCTATAAGGTGCTTTAAACGGGGTAAGGCAAGAATCTGGAGCCTGGTTTTGTTCGGCCAAGGCCGTGAAACCTGAAACTTGAAAAGTCTAGACCAGGAAACGCCAAATCGAACGCCTTACACCCATGCACGCTAAAACCCCACATCCTGTCCTTAAAAACCGCGTGAAGAAACCCTGGCATCTTCAAACTTCAAGCCTGCGGAGGCCGTCCATGCAATGACTGTGTTGCAGCGTCGGCGAAGTGAGCTCAAGTTCCTGTACTAGCAAGGAATGAAAGAATGGATCTACTAAAGGGTTAGGACTTAAGGTAGGGAATGATGGAATGGAAAAGCAAAGGGAAATTACTGCAGGGTTTGGCGTGTAGGGTAGTGAAAGAAGGAATGGAAGTGGAAATGAAGCTCATATTCTTGTGGCATAGGGTGATCAAGAATGTTGCTCCCCTGCTATTTGCCACTGTCCTTCTTTTGCTACATCAAGTTGTTTAACACACAATACCACCCGCGAATCGTTGTTGCTATTCATGCTTGGTTGGTTGTAGGTAGGAACAGGAAGCAAACTACGCTGGCAGAAGTCCTGCGTCGAGGCATGCTTTTGCGCAAACGCGTTGACAAGGATTTCGAAAGCCAGAACACACCCACACAATCAGCAACGTCATCGTCAAGGCTTGTGAAAACGGGCGCCATGGCTGCTTGAAGTTAGGCTTACGGCTGGCAATCGAAGCCCGGAGCTGTCCTAAGAGATGCAGCGCAGAAAATGTGCCCGCAATATTCTGGGTTGCTGTTAAGGAACTTAAATAAAGTTACCATAAGGGGTATATATTTATATATAGTAAATAATAGGGTTTCCCCCTTAATTTAAGTTCCTTAACAGCAACCCAGTATTTTCAGGTCAGCATCTCGCCAGAGTCTGAAAGCCAGGCATGCGCAGGTGCCCGACATGGCGGCCGTCCAGACGCCGAACTTAGGGGAGCTCTGGGCTGGGCTCTGTTCACAAGTGGAATTTGGTAACCCGGTTTAGGGTTTAGGGTTTAGGGTTTAGGGTTTAGGTCGGCGAAGGGAGAATACTTAACCTAGCTAATACGCTAATATTGAGAATCGCAATATCGGGGATTTTTCTGACGGGTGTTTGGGGGAGGTGATTAGTAGAGAGTTGTTGGCCCCCAAACAACAAGGATTTTCATGACCTCTGAGATTTGTGAGCGGGTTTTCAGGGAATCTTCTGTCTTACAGTCAGGTCCCAGGAAGATGCTCTAGGCATGTTGCCAGTCCTGACCTAGATTCCTTTTTGGGTTTGGTCTGTTGTTTGGTTAGGCCTCTTGTCTAGGGCTAACAAAAAATTCTACATTGGAGGGTCTAGGGAGGGTTCAGTTTGATTTAATGGTGCGCTCTTCCGTTTGCTGTGTAATGAGGTGGCTGTGAGGACATCTGCAGAGGGCTTATTGTGGGGATATCTTTTGCGCTCCTGCATGTCGATAAGTGGAATTATTCCAGTCACCAATTACAATTTGCTGAAAACCTTTTGCAGCATGCCTTGACACCCAAGTAGATCTACACCAAAATTGCCCTAGTCCCTAGACTCCTCTGGCATAACCTTATGGGACCTCTTAAGCACCCCCCCCTCTACATCAACCGCCTAGGTTCCTTACTCTAGCTGAATCAGCCCTAATTTTCCCTTGCACTAGGGAAATAAAACCCTTTTTAAGCCTCACGCTACAAATCCAGATCACCCTCAGCTACCCGTCGCCGACATTCGGTCCTCTGGGCTTCAGCTTTAGTTAGGAAAGAAGGCAGAGGTATAATCTGCTTGAACTTGCCACAATGCAAGCTTTAGGGCTAAGGGCGGGTTTGTCATGAACCCCACCACGATGAGTTTGAATGTGCGAATAATTGGTTTTCATAAGCTCACAACCTAAGCAAGCCATTGCAGACCTTGGGAAGCCATGTAAGAGGTTCCGTGGCAGCACGAATATGCTTATGCATGAAAATGTTGGTGACCTAGCCCTGAAGAGCTCGATGCTTGTCGTAGTGACCGCAGAGGTTTGTCAAAACAAGTTCATCAGAGGCATCCCCATATAAGCCTATAGCTATTTGCTTGAGATTTCATGAGTGATTGCTGTGGGTTGGCTTGAGCTCTCCGAAAGCAATGTCGGACTCCTCATCCTCGGATTCGAGCTCCTCCTCAGAGGACAAGAAAAAGAAGAAGCAGCTTGGCCAGTGTTGAACAAGATTTTACATGAAGAGTCAAAGGCTTGGGGACAAGACAAGACCACATCCTGTCTTCTTCATCCGTCAGGAAAGACAAGAAGAAAGACAAGAAGAAAAAGGACAAGAAGAAGGACAAAAAGAAAAAGAAGGACTCGGGTGCATCAGCGGAGAGCACGCTCCTGTCCCCTTCACGCGGTGGTTTCTCAGCACTGCAGTGAAATCGGACAGTGGGGTTGTCTTTCTTCACAGGGATGCCTGCGACAGGAGAAGGATAAAAAGAAAAAGAAGGAGAAAAAGGAGAAAAAGGACCCTTACTCAAAGACTGCTCAAGAGAAGGCCCGATTAGAAGCTCAGCAGCGGCTGATGGGCATTGACACGAACAAGAAGCCAAAAAAGAAGAAAAAGAAGTTCCTCGGCCTAATCCGGCTAGTTCGAGGGACCCCGAAGGTAGCAAACAAATTACGTATCCCCTTAGCAAGCCCACACCCCAATTGCACGTAACTTTTTCAAGTAGGTAACCCCAGGGTTCCACAAAGTAGTGGCTACGTGGGTAGCTCCTTTCATCGTAGCATTGGTACAAGTCCCGTTCCGTAGAACCCTGACACCCCAGTCACAGCCAGTGTTCCCACTAGTCTTCCGATATCTGCTGCTAAGGGTTTAGACAGTCCATGCTTAAAATGAGGGGATTACGTATTCTGACCGGGGTGGTTAGGCTCGGTGTAATGGCTCTTATGGCACACATGGAATGGGCGGCTTGCTCGGCATGAGGCCGACCATTTTTTTCGAGGCTCAAGAAGAGACTTTGCGTAGGAAGCTCTGTACCAGGAGATGCCTTACATGAAACGTATGGCTGCCCTACACTCGATTCGATTGTCAGAGAGGCGGTCGACTCGCCTCACCCCAGAATTGTGACGGCCCATGCTTCTTTAGTCATAGTCATGACGTGAGAATGTGAAAAATCCTTTATTTTACACACCTCCACGAAGAATTCCCGAAGAAGATTCACCCACTGGGTTCTTCAGCGCATCCTTGTTTCAAAAAACGTCTTGTTACATTGACCTTTTCCGAGCGTGGTAATGCATGAAGATTATTCTGTGGGGCCCGGCAGTTCTGTAGGTACGGTTCACGCAAGTCTTGGAACTCAAGCCTTTGGTTAGAGTGCCTTGGAATTTCTTGGACATGACTGTCGACACGCATTGGGCACAGCCCCCGGTCTGACTTGTGCCAGCACGCCGCATTCGCCGGATTCACATGCATGCACAGCACGGATCTGACTGGGCGCATTGCCGGAGACAGAGCAAAAAGGGCAGAGGCAGCCGGGAAGGCTGTCATTTGCAGGGTCAGAGCAACCACCCTCACCAACCGACAGCGGTGGCAGAGACTTCTGTCTTAGTCTTGCGCTGCGGGTACATCTACTCCCTTCTGTTGATGCTGCTCTACTGAAAAAGGAACACATCAACAATTTAGTAATGTCTTGTGTTCACGGTATCCCGAACACCCCCGCAACCGATGCCGGTGGCAGAGAGCTCTGTCTTGTGCTGAGCGTACCCAGCCCGCCTCTACAACCGATGCAACAAGGGCAGCCAACCCCCCAAAAAGGAGCACTTCACGGGAGATCGACGATGGAAGGAGCCGCCTCCAGCCGCACCTGCGGTTAAAATGGCATGGAAGGGGCCAAGCACTGTAGATGTATACTGCATTTGCACACCCCCTGATTGCTTCTGTCAGGCCCCGCTGCCCGCCGCAGACAGTGCAAAAAATGATTGCTTGCTCTGATATCCCATATGCAGTGGTTGAATCCTTGATCACGAAATCCAATTAGACAGCCATCCCTGCAAACAAGAAGAGACCTGATAGTTCTTGGATGGGGTCACTGGGGGACCCAGCCCAACAAGTCAGGACTGCGCAATTTCGCAACAGGCCCTCGCCTGCCCTCTTTGCCTCCTTGTCGTCGAAGCAGCCCCCAACGTGATTTGGAAGTGGATCTCTGGCATCTCCTTTTATTCCCACATATTCCTCCAGTCCCTCACGGCTCCGGTTTCTAAAGCAATTCCCGCTGTGCTGCTTTGAGGAAATCATCCTCCTCGGTGACCAGTCGTTCTGAGTTTGAAAAGGTGAGGAGGATGCAGGACCCTGGGGCACACGGTTTAGGGTTTTCGCTTGAGTAGACTTCATAATTCCCCTTGAAAGGTAAGCATACAAAAATGCGAGCTGCAATGCCGTTCGCGAAAGGTATATGGGTGGTTGTCAAAATTTTGGTCCCCTTTTTGGATCCCGATTATAATACGGCACCTAATATTTAGGGTACCCAAAAAGGGGCCATAATGTTGACAACCACCCATATAGGTCAAACTGGGTAGACGTCAAGGCTTAGGCTTTTGCTCTAGATTGGGTGTCAGAGTGCAGGCGACGATTGGCCCGTGAATTCCGCGTTAGAGGTCCAAACTAAGAAGGCCTATGCCTTAGGTGGACCCCCCATTGCAATAGTGGTTTAATGGGGTAAACCCTCCTTCGGCTGGTCCATTTCTGGCATACTTGTGTTGTTTGTTGGTTCCCTTCCGGGTGTTAGTGTTGTTGCGTTGCTATTGCACTCCTCAAAGTTGAGCCACTGTATTATCAACGCTCTTGGCAACCTAAGGCCATCACATTAAGGCCCATACCCTCACTTTAGCTATGCTTATTATTCTTACTATTCGTCTACCGTTCTTGCATACAGTTGCTTCTGACAACCCTGATCACCAAGGACTCGGGTGCCAGCAGATCACAGGTCCTTATCATTTAGGGATGAGGGTTTAGGGTTTAGTTGTTACCAGGTTGGGGCTGAGGGTTCAAAGTTTGGGGTTTAAGGCCTGAAAGCGCAACCTGTAACCAACAATGGAGTATCAACTGGACAAGGAAATGGAAAATGGAATGGACACTGTTACATTCGATATGCCTTGGCTTGAGAAAGTCCAAGCCAGAACCAGAATATACTACAGCACCCCCTAACTGCAAGCAAGGAATACATGGGGGTTTCGTAATATACCCTGCTTAATCTTGTAACTGGGGAGATTATATCCGCGATCGTGGGCTGAGCTGACGCGGTTCATCATACAGCAGCTCTTGTAAAATACTTTTCTACCTCTGGGGACCCCTTCTGCCCCATGTTCCCTCAAGTAACCCCAAATCCTTGGACCGTGCCTGTCCATGCTGGACTCACGTTGTCCGGACAAACTGACCTTGATCCTTCGCCTTACCAAGGTTATAATGGGATGATAGGGTTTAGGGTATAGTCCCCCTTAAGTAGATAGAATGTTAGGGTTATATCGGGGGCATATAGGGATAATGGAAAAGAAAACGGAAGCTACTGTTTAGGGTTTAGGGGTGTTGGCCCCCGCTGCTTGCTTCAGGTGAGCTGGGCGCCAGGTCGATTCCTAGCAGAGTCAATGCAAGGTGATGCAAAAAACAGCCCCTGGCCCTAACCTTTCTAACCAGGACGGTGCCGTGCTTGCAGAGCAATGTGCGTACTAAAAAATTTGTAATCATCGTTTTGTACCCCTATGTATTCCCTTTAGCCCTACCCTGAATCAGTGCCGAATTCGAGGAAACTTGTGTGTGAACCAAATGGGTGGATGCACATAATTTGTAACTGCCTATGTTGCCTCCCAGGCGCTAGTAAGTAGATACCTAAGCTGTACGGGCCAGGATCGCTTGGATGACCAGACAATGAAGCGCGAGGAGGAGCTGGCTGAGGAGGCAGAAAAGGCTGCTGCACCGATTCCGGAGAGGTCCTGGGAGGCCAGGGCTCTTTCGGTTCGGGGTTATCCCTCCCCCGAAGCCAAAACCTCCGCAGCCCGTCACGAGAAAGACTGCCCAGGTTACCTATCAGTACTGTATTGGGAGTAGCCCTCAATTCCCCCACAGCCTTGGATCCAATGCCCCTCCCCGACATGTAGGAGACATTCATTGTTAGGGTGGGGAAGTTCACTATTACGGGAGGGGATTGTGAAAATTTCGAAGTTGTAGACATTTAGGAGCACCAGAGGTGTACGAGGATGTATGTGGGAACACATGGGTCCCTCATGAACCCCGGCCCCAAACATGAGTTGTTTCAAGGGTTCTCTTGAGGATCCTAGAGGTTCCTCTGGATTGGGCAGCGAATAGCCCCCTTGAAAATGTAGCAGCTGTGATGATGTGTTGGCCGGCAAATAAGCTTGTACCGCATGCGACAGCATCACTTCTGAAACCTAGAAAAATCTTCGATAGGCACCGCTATAATCCTCTGGTAACCCCAGCCCTGCCTGGCCGCTACGGAACCCACCTTCTACAAAGGCTCTATCCTTCCTTTTTGTGTTATACATCCTTAGAAGTCGGCCTTTAGATGGTCCCCGGTACCGGCAAGGCCTATTCAGTGAAAGAAGTTCTAAGAAAGTTTCGGCTGGGTAGTTTCTGCCATACAGGCCCTACATATCGCTTGTATACTTCCTAGTCTCCCCATACAAGCCGTGTATAAGCTTTGTGTAAGGGTACCCTGGGGCAAGGACATGACTTGGGCGGAGCGCGCAGCCTCTGCTGCACAGAAGGCAGAGGCAGATACGATTTGGCGAGGCCACAGCAGGGGCTACTAATTATACAAACAATACGAACAATATGAGTAAAACTAGTAATACTCATAGTATTAATAATACTAGCCATTGTAATCACACAATAATCCCGATATACTGCTCAGTAGCAAGGCAGGTTCACTTAACATTTGGGGGGTTCCAAGCATCCTTTTAAAACAGAAAGGCTTTGCCTGCGGAGCTCAGCAACTGGAGATGACAAGGGCGTCTTCTGGGTCGGTTCCATGATGCATATTATGCATATAGGGGTCGCCTGGACATTCAAGGAAGCAGGATTACGAGGGCATTGTGTACGGACCATTTGAGAAGCTCGGATGCTGCTTGTGACGATTTGGTAGCCGTCCTGGAACTGTTCAGGCTAGTAATCATAATGTGACATTCTCAGCAGTCGAGAATCTCCATTTTTTGTGCAGGGCGCTGTGCGTGTTCTTTGTTGCACAGCAACGACGGGACGGATGTCACCACTGACATGGTGATTCTGCTTTTACTACTAAGATTGCATTACTCTTTTACGTGCTGCCACTCATTGATAGGAGAGGCTTATAGTAATAATGCATGACCAATGCGGTCCCCCAGATGGGACCTGCACGGGTTACCCATGATGTTCTGCAGCTTAGTGCAGTCGTTCAAAGTGGGAATTTTACAGTGAAGGTCTTGCAGCTTGCCTGCCAGGACCACATTCATTCCCTTCAAAGCAACCGTCATAGCAAGGGACCCTAAACCCAGTCGGGGTTGAACTGGTGCACCGCGCCTTTCAATCCTTAGGGTTGTGCGGGGTTTTCGCACAATTTGGGATGCTTTTTTGATATTATACGGACTATAGTATCTGTCTTTATTGGAGGTTCCCCTATGTAGCGAAACTACCATGTTCCCACAAGCTTAAGCTCGAAACATCCAAAGCCTGAGCCGCAATATCCTCAACCCTACGCTCCTGCTCCAGCAGGTGGTTCAAAAGCCGAAGCGCGCAGAGCCGGGACACGGGCCAGCGAGGAGGCCATCACCTGACCGCAAAAGTATGTGAACTGATAATAAAAACTCTGTAATCATAAAAGGGGTTATACAGGGGAGCATTACAGGGTTACTACTGTAAGGGCGATACTAGGAGCTTAGACTTTGGCTCACGTAGAATGGTAGCTTTTTGGGCTTATGGGTTCTTGGCCATGTTTAATTTGGAGGCCCTAGCAGCGCCACAATCACTGTAGAAAGTTTGGGCTTCAGGGTCCAGGGCCCGTAGAAACAAGAAGGTTGGGTTGTATGCTCTTCTCCGCACATCCCATATTTTGAGTCTACATAAGACGGACTTTCTGTCTGTGCTTGCTCAGTTTTGCAGAATCATGGTTCCGCCGTCCCTAAGATATGGGGGTTTCCCAAAATTGAGGATACCTTTTGGGAGTCCCAGAATAAGGAATATAGTATATTGGGGTCTACATTGGGGTACCCTTATGGTAGTTTCCAAAAAAAGGGGGACCCAAATATAGACCACAAAGTATTATAATCCTTATTATTGGGACTCCCAAAAAAAGTAACCCTACATTTAGGAAACCCTAAACCCTAAACCCTCAAACCCTAAACCCTAAACCTATTTTGGGAACCTACCATCCCTCCACCGGATGTCCCAAGTCAAGAGGACCCAGGGTGAGAAGGAGCCACATTGGCACCCAAGGCATTCTTCCATAGGGTTTAGGGTTTAGGGTTTAGGGATACACTCCCCCAATGACATGGGAAACCCATATGGCCCCCCTTTAAAAGCCTGCAGTCTTTATAGGCCCTTTTTGGGTTTCCATGTTAGTTTCCGGGAGGGTACTTACACAATGCTTATTTGTTAGGTGGACCCCCCACCCAGTAATAGTTACTATAAGGGATAATAGGGATTATTATATTAAGGTCCTCTTATATTCTTAGTAGACCACTGTTACAGGGTGGGGGGGGTCCTCCTAACTTATTTGCAATCCCCCCCCTCCACCCCGCGCTGTGTAGGATCATTCATTGTTGTTCGGTCATGTGGGCCATAATCTAAACTCCTAAAAGGGGGATATCTATATACGGGACGACTATAGGGGTTATTAAGGGGTACCAGGAGTTTAGGCGATGGCTCATGTAACAGCTTGCAGAAGATCTGAGTAGGCAAGCTAGGTGCCATTGTCTGACAAAACCCTAAACGCCCAAGCGCTCAGGTCATGCTGCAAGCAGCCGATGAGGGTGTTGCACTGCAGACTGTTCCCCAGCAGCGGCCTCAGGCTTCCGTTCCCGTTTTGGACGTGGTAACTCGCGGCTTTGGGCTAAGGGTTTAGGGCTTCGGTTTGAACCCAATTAGTGAGCCTACAGGTCCAAAGTAACCACACATCCCACACATCGAAGCTCTCAGTTTTGGGTTTTGGGTAGCTAAAGCATAATATATTTGGGTTTCGAACCGTCGGGGTCATGCTTTAATTGGAAGAACGCGGAACCACACGAACAAACAAAAAGCAGAGGTTTTTCTTGGAGGATCATGGAGACGAAGCAAGTAGCTTAGTGCATGCTGCCCTGTAAGTCACTTATGAACTTACGAGTCGCACCCCCCATAGTAGCCTGTGTTTTCCACATCAACAGTGTCTTTCTTGTGGTTGAAGGCAGGCCAGTGAAGGCCTTCCCTTGCGGGCACAGCGAGCGTGCAAACTTAGGTGCACCACATGGTTGTCGCAGGTTCTGCCTCAGGAGATGAAGGAAACCTCATATTCTACACACGTGGTCTAGGAAAAGCAACTCGTAGCCTCAATGGTCAATGGCCCTCTAGCTGAGGCGCGCCAAGTTCAATGCTGCCACTGGCACAGTCTCAAGAGGGTAATGGGTCAGATCGCCGTGCGGAGCATCAGAAAGGAGGTCCTCGAAACTTGCGGGCCTTTCTTGTTTGAGCCAGGCTTTGGCGCGGTCTTCCCTTCTCTTTACTTCCAAATCGTGCTCAGGGGTTTTGTAGTATGATACTTCATACTCCTTGTTTAATGCTCACATGGCCGCGTCTTGAATTAAGTCAGAAAAGCAGCTACCTCAGTAATCAGGACGGCACAGGGTGGGGGGGGGGGGCCATGCATGCTTTGTTCAGGCACCTAGCTGTTGAGAGGCTTTGCATGTTGCTTTACCTAGCGTGTCTCCGTGCGTCTTCACGGGCTTTTTTCTATCCCTGAACTTTCGTGCTCAGCTTTTTAACAGCTCTACAGCTCTACAGCTGTTGTCTGGAACCCTCTAGCCCGAAATCCCTGAAGCTTGCGGCCTTGTTAGGTTGGAGGTTCTTGTCTTTCTTCTGCATATAGTGTGAGTAGCAGCCCAAGACGTGATGGAGCTCATGTCAAACTCCCATGACGATTGAGGTCAGGTGAAGCGTAGACAATCTTATGGAATCCCGCGCTCCCTACAGATTATGAAGATGCATTACTTCAGTCTTAGGACTAGAACGCGAATGCGCCGCATGGATCTAAATCTCAGTCTCTTAACTATGTGTGAGTGGCTTATGACAAGGCGACGATTGCTTGCAGTATGTCATGTTTTCAGGCCTTCGCGAGGAGGGATGAAAGAATCTCTATACAAATCAGAAAACCTTTCAAGGGATATCATGATAAAGTCAACAAGCAAGCCTGCCCAAAAACATCAACAAGTCCAAGTGGATGTTTCTTAAAAAAAAGTCCTTGGGGGGGAAGCCAGGAACAGTCTTCCCCCTACAAACCCTAGTCTCCTCGAGGGCAGCTAGGTCTTGAGAATCCTCAGGTGACAGTCCTATTTACTACGGATGCCTCGCACCCTGAGAGGTGATTGCTTTATCACAAGCTCCCATGGTTTAGTTTCAGCTCTACACGTGCCTGGCGAATTCTTTTTCGCGCTGATGCGACTTTCGCAAGCACTGAGAGAAGGCACCTGAGGCAAGATGATGGTGGAGATGCCTAAGCGAAGAATGCCGGCATCGGTACGAACTGCCGTTCAACCACTGTGCCATGAGCAGTACTTTGGCGCGTCAACCATCAAAACACCGTAAACCTAACCCTAGAGAAAGCCCTGAACCCACTGCAGATATTGACTGGGACCCTGGAACTCTTGCCATGCCTGCAGTGTGACGTGCGTGCCAAAGCCCACCGCATGTGTGAGTCATTTGGTTCAAGGTTCACGCTAGGTTGCAGAGGTTGCGTGCCTTTTACAGCCTAAATTCACTCATCATGGCCGAGGCCTGGGCCTCGGGTTGAGAGTTTGGGGTTGGCTAACTACAGGACTTAAGGTTTAGCTTTTGTGTCTGTGGGGCCGGGCACTTAGGGTTTAGGACTTTAGGATTGGGGTTTAGAGTTTGGGATTTAAGGTTTAATTTAGTGCCGGGATTCAGGATCAAAGTGCAGGGCTTGCGGCGAGGCATATAGGTTGCGGAAATGTACTGTGTGTGGTTTCCATTTTCTTTTCCATTATCCCAATATAACCCCTATATCACCCCAATATAATCCCCATATAACCCTAATATAATCCCTATATAACCCCAATATAACCCCAATATTGTTGTTGGGCTTGGGATCCCCTTCAATGAAGGGACTACGCAGGCATGGAGGCTCGTTGGACAGCATCGGGCACCGAGTGCTAGGCTTTTCCCTTTGGGCAAAGACGGGTCTTCACCGGATCATCCACATGCCAGGAATATATGAACACACGTCCGACGCTTCGTAGGAAACAGCAGTGTAGGGGCAGAGAAAGGGTCTAGTGCCTAGGCAAGCTAGGCATGCCGGTGGCTTTGTTGATTAAAGGTGTAAACTCCACAGTCCCCGCAGCAGTGCAAGCTGCTAGGAAAGCTCAAGGCTCCTTTCTCTACAGCTCCTTGGCCCTATCATTGCTCTACTCCTCACTTCGGGGGTATGTGGACGACCGCCGTCCTTGGCGGTGGCAGCGCCAGATCCGCTAGAACAACTGTCTTATTCTGCACGCAATACATGTAGCCATTGGTGGTTTCGACGTTACTGTCAACAGAGTGGTACTGGCGATGCCAACAGAGTCCCTCAGAC